ATTCTCTTGTCTCAGACACCCAAGTAGCTGGGACTACAGGTGTCCGCCACAATGCCCAGCTATGTTGTTGTTGTTGTAGTTGTAGTTGTTGTTTAGCAGACCCTGGCTGGGTTCGAACCCCCCATCCCCAGCGTATGTGGCTGGTGTCATCACCACTGAGGTACGGGCACCGAGCCCAGCCTCTTGAGCTTATTTTATTTATTTATTTATTGAGAAAGAGTCTCACTATGCTACCCTTCATAGCATCATAGCTCACAGCAACCTTGGGCTTAAGGGATTTTCTTGCCTCAGCTTCCCCAGTAGCTGGAACTACAGGTGCCCGCCACAATACCCAGCTATTTTTTGTTGCAGTTGTCGTCGTTTAGCTGGCCAGGCTGGGTTCGAACCTGCCAGCCTCAGTATATGTGTCTGGCACTATTGGTGCCGAGCCGCAGCCTCTTCAACTTAAATCGATAAAATAGGATAGGTGGCTCAGCGCCCGTAGCACACTAGTTACGGCACCAGCCATATACACCAAAGGTGGTGGGTCGAACCTGGCCCAGGCCAGCTAACCAACAATGACAACTGCAACAGCAACAAAAAAAATAGCCAGGGATTGTGGCGGGCTCCTGTGTAGTCCTAGCTACTTGGGAGGCTGAGAATTGCTTGAGCCCAAGAGTTTGAGGTTGCTGTGAGCTGTGATGTGACAGCACTCTATGGAGGGCGACATAGTGAGATTCTGTCTCAAAAAAAAAAATACAATGGGATAGGTGGGAAAGAAGTATAGCAATTTATTATAAATAATTTTTTTTGATTTACATCCCCTTTTACCCAAAAATCCAACATCTAAGAAATTATTCTGTGGGAATAAAATACCTTCATCAAGATGCTTGTATATAAGGGTGTTAATCACAGCATTGTTTCTTCTTTTTTTTTTTTTTTGAGTCCGTCTCACTGTGTCACCCTTGGTAGAGTGCCATGGCATCACAGCTCACAGCAACCTCAAACTCTTGGACTTAAGCAGTTCTCTTACCTCAGCCTCCCAAGTAGCTGGGACTACAAGCACCCAGCACAATGCCCGGATATTTTTTGGTTGTAGTTGTCATTGTTTGGCAAGCCTGGGCTAGATTCAGACCCGCCAGCTCCGGTGTATGTGGCTGGCGCCCTAGCCACTGAGCTACAGACACCGAGTAACCCAGCATTGTTTTTGATAGTGGAAAACTTGGAGATAGTTAAATGTCCTAGTGAGAGATTATTAAATCATGTTACAGCCATACGGTAGAGTACCATATAGCTATTAAAATTATGTTACAATATATGTTTATTGGCATGGAAAGAGTATATAGAGTATTCCAATTTTATAAATTGAAAAAAAAAATGTTTAAGCATCTAAAGTGAATAGAAAAAAACTGGGGAGGTTGTTATACACCAAAAGATTATCTTTGGATGGTGGAATTGTTGTTGTTGTTGTTTTTTTTTTTTCTCATGTATACTAATTTTTTTTACTAGTGAATGTGCATTACTTGTTTTTTTTTTAAGTAAAATTAAGCATAAACAAACAAAGAGCACTCTGGCAGAAGTATGAAGAAGTAATTGGAGGAGATCAAGACTAGAGGCATGAAGACTGATTTCAGTAGTGTAGGCAGAAGCTAACAAAGGACTAAGCCAAGGCAGGCAGAATAGGGATATAAGGGAGGTGGTAGAGACAATTTATATTAAAGAGAGAATCTTCAGGACTATTGACTAAATGGATACCATAAATGGTAGATGAGACAATGAGGCTGTCAGAGCACTTATGGTCATGTAAGCTGGCAGTGTGCGTTGTTCGGGTGTAGGAAAATTTCGTTCAGGTTCTTGTGTATATGAAGTTGGCAAGTTGATGTTTTTGAATAGGATCATTTTTCTTTCAGGGACACGTAGAACAGTTCAGAACCAGTCAGTTTAGTATCCAGGGGAGGTGAGATGGGCTGATTGTTTATTGGCACTGAGCATGGGAATGGTCAGCTAGAGGACGGTGTCAGAACTTGAGAGATGACGCGTTTCTCTTCTCAGTTATGGGAGCTATGAGGAGCCTGATCCTAAGTCGAACACCCAAGACACAAGCTTCAGCAGCATCGGTGGGTATGAGGTATCAGAGGAGGAAGAAGATGAGGAGGAAGAGCAGCGCTCTGGGCCAAGTGTACTAAGCCAGGTCCACCTATCAGAGGACGAGGAGGACAGTGAGGATTTTCACTCCATTGCTGGGGAAAGTGACTTGGACTCTGATGAATGAGGCTTCTTTTGGGCCTCCTTGGTCAGCCTTACCTGTTCTCCAGGCTAGGTGTCACCTTTTCCTGGTTTATTTATATTTGTACAATGTCTGATCCTGAAATCACCAGATTAACACCTTAGCCTTTAAAAAATAGTAAATGATGTGGCGGACACCTGTAGTCTCAGCTACTCGGAAGGCTGAGGCAGGAGAATCACCTAAGCCCAGGAGTTGGAGGTTGCTGTGAGCTGTGACGCCACGGCACTACCGAGGGCGATAAAGTGAGACTCCGTCTCTTAAAAAAATATATAGATATATATATATAGTAAATGATAATAAATCACCTCTTCTGATCTTCCTGGGGCAATGTTGCCCTTCCTTTTAGCAGCCCTATTTCCTACCACTACCAAAAAGAGAGAGCAAGCCCATTTTTCTCTTGTTCCCTCCTTTAACTCCATTTATTGCTTGTGGTATAATTTTTCCCTGGGGGAGAAGGAGAAATTATGAAAGGACTAATAACTTAATGTCCTCTTGATGTATTAGAAATTTTCCAAGCATGGTATCATCCCAGTTTTCTAATTTTTAGTCTGGAACATGTGAGAGCCCCCTTGCTGTGACAGAGCATTGGGTTCTAGGGAACTCTATGCCATACTTAATAACAAACCTATTAGACAAACTGCCCATTATTATTTATTTGATTATACAATGCCGAAATGGATTTGAGGCAGGTTGACTATAAATCCTTGAAATAGCCTATATATGTCAGAAATGATGTGTTGTCATGTAAATGTGTTCTCTCTCTCCCCCCCATGGAGGGGGAGGGGAATGATAGGAAAATGGTAAGTTCTTTAGGGTAAAGACTGTGTTTTTTGTTTCTTTTCATGCTTAGGATATGGTTCTGAGCATAGCAGGAATTCAGTAAATGTTCCTAGAATTATAAAATCCTCAGTATATATGTTTACTGAGCATCTGCTTCATGGTAAGCACTCTAGCAGATCCTTGGGATTCAGAAGTAAATAAGACACATCCCTTTTACCCAAAGAGATCACCATGAAGTTGGGGAAAGGGAAGTAGAATTCAAAACATGTTAATAAATTATTACAATACTGTGAGATAAGTGCAATTAAGAAGCTAGCTATAAAGTATAGGGGAAAGTAGAGGAGTAATCATGTCTGAAAAAAAGTCAGGGAAGTCTTCTTAAAGGTAATTTTTAAGCTAATTGTTGAATAAATAATAGGAGCTTGCCAGAAGGAAAAGTCCAGGCAGTATGTAAAATGAAGTGAAAAGGCCAAAGTCTAGAAATGGCAGAGTGTGTTCCTAGTTTGTTTGTACCTGCCTTGTTCCAGAAAGGATTTAAGATGGTTTATGTTCTAGTCCTTTATTGCTGGAATGGGTAGAGGTAAGACTAAAAGATAGGCAAGAAGCATATCATCAAGAGTTTTGCATTTGATATTAATGTGTGTGTATTTTATATTATGGGAAATGAGCTCTAGAGGAGTGATATAATCAGATTTGTGTTTTAGAAATTTTCTGTGTACTGAATGAATGAATGAATTGAAAAATCATATGTAAGAGTCATGTGTGATCCTGTTTTTGTAAAAGACAAAACCATGTGTGTATATTTATATGTGTTTATGTATACTTGTATATGCAAAGGAAAAGGTCTGAAAAGATATATGCTAAACTGTTCACAAGGATAATCTCTGGGGAATAGGATTGGAGGGAAGGGGGTTTATGTGCTTGTATGTATCCTGGGTGGGGTATTATGCTTTTATTTCTGTATTGTTTGAATTTTTTTTATAAGTATGTATTTTTGTAATAAAATTTTCTTAAATTCTAGCAATAGTGTGGAGAATGGTTTGGAGGGGGAAGCAAATCTAGTTCAAGTAAGAGGGAATGGTGCCTGAACTAGGGCTGTGGCATTGAGGTGGAAAGTAGGAGGATGTATTTGAGAGAGCTCTAGAGAGTAAGATCAACAGGACTTGGCATTTAGAGGTGAAGTAGGGAAAATGGAAAGTGGCTTCTAGAATTTTGGTTTGGAAAATTGGATAGGTACATGGTATTCATTTGTTCATTTCAATGTTTATCATTCTACCTATTTTTAACAAGCAATCTGCCAGATACCAATAGAAAAGTAAAATATAGTCTCTAGTTGCAAGGAAATTTTCTTTTTTTTGAGACAGAGCCTGAAGCTGTCACCCTGGGTAGAGTGCCATGGCATCACTGCTCACAGCAACCTCCAACTCCTGGGCTCAAG